TTTTATTTATCTTTTTTGATTTGAATTATATTATAATTTATTATATAGATTTTTCAATTTCAAAATAAACTTACACCCCTAAACTATCACTTTTTTTTTTTTACTTTGTTCTCTTAACTATCAGATTTTTCACATTGCATATTAAACTAATACTTTTGCTTTACATTGTCCCAAACACAAACATCTGTTATCTTTTTTGATAAAAATCGTTAACATGTCGTAGTAAAATTAAAAAAATTATATAGTTTGATAGGTAAAATAAAATAATTTTTTGTTAAATATATAATAAACGTTAAAACTTGGTCAATGTGAAACTAATCATAAATTGAGGGTAAAATATGAAAAATCTGATAATTAAGGGGACAAAGTAAAAAAATGATGATAATTTGGGAGTGTAATTGTAATTTACCCATTTATTTAAGAAAGGGGGGCCCAAACTTTGGCCAAGTGGAATAAAGGCATCTACAGGACGAAAAAGGAGAAGGAGCTAGGCATCATTTTTTTCCGAAAGAGAGCTAGGCATCGTTCAGGGCCTGACTTTAAAGATTCATATGAAGAAAGTAGACAGAAAAGAATAAAGGGTAAGAATTTATTTTTTTATTGATGGATAACTGTGTGATGAAGATATGTAATGCGATTTATCTGTATATCTATTATATGTATGAAAAAAGAAAGCAAGAATAGGGGTGTCAACTCTTGAGAGTGGTCCAGTGGTTGAGCATTTCTATTGGTAAGCAAGAAATTTCAGGTTCAATCTCTTTCAACAGTTCTTATGGGCAATTTATTCTTGTCCCTTTGGGGCTTTTTTGGATGAATTTTAGGAAGGGGTTTGGATTGGTTTCTCCAAACTTTTTATAAATTCAAATTACTCTTTACAAAGATAAAATTCAACATTTAATCTGGTACATATTTAAGTTTGGTATGCAACATATACACATATAGGACCCACAGATATATCATAATTATTATCAACTATTTGTCCTATAAATGATTATTTTATCCTTGATTAATCCAATTCATACTTATGTTAAACAGTATAATTGTCTTTTGTATCCTTAACGCCTTAACCCATCTTCCCAAACTAACTCTCTCCCTAGGGTTTGGCGAAACTCATGATCATGAGTTTAATTTTCGGGCCAGGAACGAGCCGAATTTGAAAATCCGAGATTAAATTTTTAATCCAAATATGAGATTTGAGGGTCCTTTGAACTATTTTCTTCAAATCCATCTTGTCAAGCCCTCCTGTACTCTCTTACCAAACAGTCCCTTGCAGATATGCTCTAGACCCGCTCAAACCCCAATGACTAGCTATTGAACTCGAGAAGTCATAAACTTAGACATCCTATATAAAAAAAAAGAGGAAGAAGAAAACGACAAATAAGAGTCTCAATTGAATCGTGTCATTTTCGGGTCGTTCATGTTGTATTCGTGTCAATAAAAATTTAGTTAATTTTATAACATCTTATTATGATACTATTTAAAACAAATTATAAATTACTTTTTTTATTTCTACATGACTGGTTATTTGTATTATTCGTGTTTAACCTTTCGTTTATTGATTTAGTTCAATAATACTCTCTACCTTATAAAAATTTTATTTTTTTGAGATTAATGATTCAACCCCTTTCTCCCCTCCCTCTGCTGCTCCCCCAAAAAAAAAATTATTATTTTGTGTTGGGTCAAAGGTGGTGTCAACTGATAAAATTGACACTCCTAACCTGGCCACGTTTTGCACACCCTCCCTCTCTCCATTAGTAGAAAAATACAACCAACACCCGACATGTTTAAGAGACGGGCACGGCTCCTCTGCTGTTGAAGGCTAACAGCACACGGTGCTGTTTAATGCAACGGCACCGTTTTTGGCGTGGACCCTCCAACAGAGCCTCCTCCAACTTTTGAACTGCAACTTTTGAATCCTTTACCAGCAAAATGCCAAAATCTTATTGTTTTCGCTTCTTTTTATTTTTTATTTTTTGAGTGGATACTTTAACGACAAGGTTTAGTTTTTATTTTTTTTTCTCAACTTACATATTGTTCTTAATATAATGAATATTTGTATAATAAGATAGTTCACAAGTTGAATTTTATTCTCTACATATTTTCCTCCCAAAAAATCAAATCACTCATTTCTATCACATGTCTAATTATTTTAATATTTAATTATTTATAATTTAATATAATTTTTATTTCAAATATTATTCATACACGATAATATACATATGTTGAGAAAAATTTATCAAATTACGTATTTTGAAAAATTATTATTTAATATAGTAAAATAGATTTTTTTGGACGCTGAATTTTATATTTCATCGCTTCTTCAAACATGAGTTATGACTAGTCAATAGATAATTGATAACTTAATTACATATAGAAAAAAAATATATCATTGATTTTTTTGTTTAATGAATTTTTATATATCAAGTATGATGTAATAGATATAATACTATAATTTTTTATTTTTTTCCCAAATTACAATTTGTTGTTAAATAAATTAAAAATGAATATCGCGAGAATTCAATTGCATAATAAAATGGATATCAATGAATGATTGATAACATGATTACATATAGATAAAAATATATCATTGATTTTAATTTTTTTGTGTTCAAGGAATTGTTATATATCAATTTTGATGTAATAGATATAATAATATTATTTTATTTTTATAAATTAGAAGACAAAAATTAAACCTTATCAGTACCCGCTCCAAAAAATAAAATAAAAAATGACTACCTGACAAAACAAATGTTGCAGTGCATAAGTTGGAGGGCAGTCTGTTGGGGGGATCCACGGGAAAAAGGTTGTCGTTGCATTAAACGGCATTGTGTGCTGTTAGCCTTCAACAGCAGAGGAGCCGTGCCCTTAAGAGACACTAAAAGGGAAGATGTTCATAAGGTTGTTATTCCGATTCCGTTACTAAATTAATCTAAACTCCGTATCAAAAACGAATTTTCATCATTACAATCCAAAAGCTAATATTATTTATCCCACACTGCAAGAAACATTAATAAAAAGAAAACAAAATAATGTAAAAAACACATCTGCTACAAGACCATAAGAAATTAGACAGATGGTTCACTACCCATATGTACAGGAGAGTAAAGCTACAAACTTTATTCTGCAAATGTAATGTAAAAAAGAAAACAGCAAGAAAATAAGCACTTGCCAGACCCAAAAACAGTTGCAGATTAAAGTGTCATACAAGAAAAATAGTTAGCTTCATTGTCATCTTCAACCTTACAAATACTAAGATCATCCAGTCTGCGAAGCTCACCCAATAGATTCCCATCATTGTCTATAATCATTGAACTAAGCTCCAACGGGAAGTTGCCCTTTTGACCACTTTGTGTTTGTAAATATTTCCCAACCACCAAACCTTGATTATGTTCCTGTTCTTCCACATTCAAGGCTTCCACTGATTTGCCACTGATTTTTTCACTAGCATCACCGGATGAAACCCAATCATTGTGAACAATGGGTTGGTTTTCTTTTTTGGTCATCAATCTCCCCCCAATCTCAAACTTCTTAGAAAGATAAGCCTTTGAGGCCTCTTCAGCATTGTGCGAAACTTTGTTCTGCAATTCCTCCTTCACAGCTTCCATTGTATTGGCCCTGATTTTCCAACCATCATCGGTGGACGAAATAGAGTTGGAACAAGACTCAATTGAGTTGAGATCATCGGACAAAGCCGAGGGCTCGATTTGAAGAACTGAAGAAGGGGATTCATTAGACGGCTCGCTTTCACATTCCTTGCAGACAAACTGTTTGATGTTTTGTCTGCCTTGCGCTTCAAACTCAAGCTTCTTAGAAAGATAAGCCTCGGAGGCCTCTTCAGCAGTGTTGTAAGTGCCCAACCAAATCCTGGATTTGCTGAAGGGATTTCTAATCTCAGCAGCCCACTTTCCAGATTTCCTCAGCCGAACCCCTTTGTTTTTTTTGGGTTGTTTTCGAGCAAAAACTCTTTTAGGGTTGTGGCGGCCATTGTTGCTGCTATGAATATAAAGAATTTCATGGACCATGTGTTTCGACCTAGATCTCTGATCTCTGCTATCACCCTCTTCATCTGAAGAACAGTCTGTAGCATCTGGGTCAGAATAGATGACTCTTATTTTTCTTATGGATTTGGTCTCTTCTTCTCTCTCATCGACCGAGATTGGATTTTTTCTCTTGCCTTTTCTTTGTGCCATGCTTTTGATTTCAAGCCTCAATCCTTTGATCTAATCCCTCGCAACATAAGGCATATGTAACAAGAATAAAGAATCTTTCCGTACGGAAAATAAAAGTGAGAATTACACCTAATCCCCTGAAATTTGTTACTTAATTACTCAAATCCTCTGATTTTTGAAATGTTACATACAAATCCCCTAAAGTTAGTACGTGTGTAACACTTAAACTCCTGCTGTCAATGTCCGTTAATATATTTATTAGTAAATTATATTCAGGCCCCCTGTGGTTTGTAAGTGTATAACACTTAGACCATTCAAGTTTAAAATATTATACTTAGACCAAAAATATTTTAATAAAAGATAAAATATTAAATATTTTAAATTTTATAACTAAAATTTATATTCTATTGTATCATTTCTTGAAATAAAATCAAAAATAAAAATCTAATTTTTTTTTAAAAAAAAAACCATAATTAGTATACAATTATACTATCTATTGGAATAAAATTAAAAAATAAACAAGGGGTCTAAATCATTCATTATAAAACATGAATTTTACAACCAAAATTCATGTTCTATTATGACATTTATTGAAATAAAATCAAAAATAAAAATATAATTTTTTCTTAAAAAATCATAATTAGTATACATTTATACTATCTATTAGAATAAAACTACAAAATCAAACAATAGGTCAAACTGTAATGGACACAATATTTTCTAGTTTTAATTAGAGTAATTTGGTAGTTTAAATGACCAAATTAAATTTCAATAGATAATATGATTGTATACTAACTATGATTTTTTAAGAAAAAAATATTTTTTTATTTTTGATTTTATTTAAATGATATAGAATATAAATTTTTGTTGTAAAATTTAAAGTATTTGACATTCAATTTTTGATTAGGGTATTTTTTTATCTAAATATAATATTTTAAAACTGAGAGATCTAAAGACAATTGTGTTAATTAAGCACTCGAACTAATTTTTATGTTAATCAAGCCCTCAAATTCTAAGATTTTTGCAATTATGCCCATGAATTAATTTTTGTATCAATTGAACCCCTAAACTCTAACATTTTAGCAATTAACCTTTTTATCAGCAGTTGCTAGGTTTTTGTACGGAATGTCTCACGTGCTCATCACATAGATAACAATTAAGAATAATTTAGACTGTTCGTTCGAAACTTATTAAACGAAGAACACTATTTCTAAACTTTCAACTTAAATCTCTTTCATATCCAACAAATGAAGTAGATCAGCAATCTCTTCGATATGGTATAGAAAACAGATTACATAAATGTAGGCTTTTCGAAGAGCTTACTAATTTGCTCCATTCAATAGGTATGAAAAGGTTTAGGTTTATAGTTTTGATTGAGAGATATAAGAAATGGGATTTTTGGTCTAATAAGTTTCGAACAAACAATTTAAAATATTCCTCATTTGATGTTCATGTGGTAAGCACGTGAGACATTCCGAATGAAATTTAACGGTTGCTGACAGAAAGACTTAATTGCTAAAATTTTAAAATTTAGAGATTTAATTGACACAAAAATTAATTTAGGGGCTTACTTGCTAAAATTTTAAGAGTACAGGAACTCAATTAACACAAAAATTAGTTCAGAGAATTAATTAACACAAAAATTAGTTCAAAAACTTAATTAACACAAGAGTTATAGTTTAAACACTATCTATTTAGTTTACTTTATAATCATACAATGATAACTCAATAAGTGGACCCCCTCTGTAAAAAAAAATAGAGTTCATTTTTTCCACTTATTTGTTTATCATTTAATGACTACACATAATAATAATAATATTGACGTAATGTAATGAACTCTTTGATAATACTACTTAAGGCTTAAAACTGAAAACGACTTAATAAATTAAACCCGTTTAATAACCTAAAACTCATACTACTTAATATTTTAAACACTTCTTAAAAAAGGCTAAAATTTTAAGTAGCAAATCACTTTCTTTTCACTTAATGTTGAAAATGTTAGTCAGTAAAGATTTTATCAATTTCTCATAATTGAAAAATTTACCCTCACCCCCACCACCACCACCAATACTATCACAACCACCGCCGCCACAACCACCACCATTAAATGTGAGACCCGATCATGCATTGCATACATAGCATAATTATGTGGACAAATTGCAATTATGTGAAATTACTTATTAGATAGAATTTTGTGTGTGAAAATAGTATTGGGCTGATTTTGAAATCACTTAAGAATTTTGAGGGAGACAAATAGAAATATTAAAGTTCATGAAATATCTATATCCATGTGTCAAGGCTAAGGTGGTGAGTCATTTTGGAAAAGTCAAGTGTGTGTGTGTGTGTCAAGTGTATGTGTGTGTCTTAAGGTGCAGTAAAGTGTGTGTGTTTAATTCATGAAACAATATGTGTGTGTGTGTAATGTAAAGAGTAAAGGTGTGTGTGTGTGTTTAATATAGAATTTAGTGTGTATGTGTGTGTGTGCGCGCACGCTTGGTTCTTTACTAGAACCGTGAGTAGGAGTGAACAAGAAAGGAAGAAGAAAGAAAAAAAAAGATGAAATAAAGAAGAACTTGGGGACTCCATGCCAAACCAAAAGTATGAAGAAAATAAGAAGGTAAGAGTGTATGTGTGTGTTCATTTTAGTGTGTTTTGTGTGTTTATTTTAGTGTATGTGATTAATTTTAAGTATTTGTGTATATGTGTGAAAATTGTTTTAGTATAATTTCAAAGCATATTTTGGTGAGGTTAAATTAAGTGTATTAAACATAATTAGTGGACTATTTTGTGTTAAAATGATGGGCTGATTTATTTTAAGTTCAAAAAATATTTTATTAAGGGTTTTACACAAAATTAGGGGCTGTTAAGAAGGGGTACTAAATGGGTACTCAACCGAGTGTACGAAAAGTGTAGAAATGAGCATTAGAGATATTCGGGAAACATTTAGTGTGCTAGGTTGAAAACGAAAATTTTGGGAATGAAATGGATAGTTTAAAGGCTCAATTGGGGGTTGTTTTACATTGATTAAATGTGTATGTGAATTTAAGTGTAGTGGTTTTAAAGGAAAAGAACGATAGAAATTAAAAATGGGTGTCGATAATGCCGAAACTCTAATTTCTAAATGTTATTGTTACATGTGTGAAATTTAATCCAAATAATCTGAAATTTTACATTCATTACTTTTAAATGATGCTTGATGAGATAATGTAAATTTAGAATGCAAATGAATATAATATCCAGTGCGAAATGTACGAAATGTCGAAAAGTGTAATTTTTGGGATTCGGGGTCGAAATGTGTGAAAATGGGCCCCAGTCAATGTGTTTGACCTATTAAATCTTAATTGTGATTAATGTAAGTGATTTTGAAGATTTGGGAAAAAAAATATGATCCCTAAATCTAATGTGTCAGTATGTGAGTGAACAGTGCGATAACCGGAGCCACCGGGACAATTTGGATTGAATCATCTTGCATGCATTAGTGCATGATTAATTATGCAATGTGATAAACATATTAAAATTGATGTGTTAGGTGGAATAGGTAGGACAGTTGGTATAGAGACGGCTACAAAAACACCGGAAGGATCCACTGATAGAACCGAATGGATGTCGATCGAAATATTTGAGGTGGGTGTATATCTTTATATGTTTTGAAAATGCTATTATAAGATGATGTTAGATGATATAGTTTAATAGCATTTTCTCCAGGATTATGTGCTATGTGATTGGATAATGTTTTGTATTGTGCATTGTGTATTGTAGAATGTGGCGCACTGTTTGAGACAGGAGCGTCGATGCCTGATCACTGGGCGTACAGTGGTGTGCTAGCACTGCGATGTTCCGGGGAGGTTCGGGAGATACAAATCCATGTGAAATCGATTACCCAATGAGGGGTAGTATGTATGTGTTATGGCTTGTGAATGCTTTGAAATTGGATTGATGTTATTGTTTGATACGTGTTTTTTCATAGTATTTACATACTTCTGTGTGTTACTATCATTTTTATTTCATATAAGGCATGTACATTCACTGAGCGTGTGGTTTTGCTTACACCCCTATAGTTTCTCCTTTTCAAGTACAAGAGAAAGAGAGACACAAATTAGTCCACCGTCAAAAAGGGTTAAGTTTTGTACAATGTTAGAATGATATTCTGTTCTTTATGTATTTACTTTTAAATGAGTCAATGATACTGGTTGGGGGTCCGTATAATTATTAGTTGGGTTGTATATTATGTTAATGAGAGATTATTATAGCAGGTTAATAGTATATATATTTATAAACAGACTCAACAGGCATACTTTGTGATGTATGCTATGTGGGTGTGGAATTTTGTATCTGTCTATAATCTCGAAAACAAACAATTGATACATGTATTATATATGGTACAGGTAATGAGACAGGTTTACCATCATACTTATTAACTAAGGTGATTGGTGGTATTGTTGCACCTGTGAGATTAATTAGTGTTTTATTAATTTAAATTATATATATGTAAACAGGTGTATCAAAAACCTAGTCGCATCTTATCCTTGGGAGACCGGGATGGGGCGTGACAATTAAGTTGGTATTAGAGCTAGAGTTTATAATTTTGTAGTTGAGTCGAGTCTAGTGTGACAGTGGACTTAGGGATTGGTCTGTGTAGGTGGGGTGCTAGAGGTCCGTGTGAGTGCGTAGAATATATATATTGCATGCTATCATTACCCATATGCAATATTCACATATTTTACAGTGATACATGTAGGGGGAAGGTTTATCTTCTCGTGGTGGAGATAGGGAAAAAAGACCCCAAGTAGAGAAGGAATCAGGTAATTGGGAAGCTAGACAATTGTGGAAAACAACAACTAGATACTTTGAGCCGTTTAAAAAGCTTGATCCACCAATGTTTACGGGAACTGCGGGTCCGTTGGAAACAGAGAATTGGTTACAACGCATCGAGAAGATATTTAAGGTGATGGGAGTCGACGAGAAGGATAATTGTTGTTAGCCACTTTTATGTTATCAGAGGAGGCCTAGTATTGGTGGGAGGCTATGG